GGGTAACCTAGGGGGATGCCCAGTCGTAGTGGGCGGGCGCGCAAAAATGGCAAGGTTCAGTTATACCCACCGGTCGTTGGAAGTATGCATTGTTTGATCCCCAGACCCAAATCTATTTTAAGCGCCTTCCTACTTCAACAATCGATGGTTACCTACGTTCATCGCATCCCACTTGGGCGGGCCGAAGCCCAATCTACTTGAACCGCCTTCCTACTTCATGTGTCTACCGACTTCTTTCGGCCGGTGGGTATCGCGATTCGTGGGCGGCCCTAGGTTGCGGGCGGCAATCCTGCGCGGTGCCATCGCGATGTCCGCCGCGGCTTTCAAGGGCAGCGACGGGCCGTGCATCAAGTACATAAGTGCGTTGCGACTTTCGCGGCGGGTTTACATTTCCGACGATTTCAGGGCTCGGCACATGGATAAGGCCACCCTGGTTGAGCACGCGGTGGCGGACATGGGCGCCACGAAATTCAAGTTGATCGATTGGGATGATTACTGTGTTCAGAAGGGCAGGAAGTTTATGTTGGCGTTGGTGACGTCGGCTGATACGGCACACCGATCTCATGATTTCCCAGCTGGGTCGTCACTCACGGGGCCCGAGTTCATATCTCGTTTCTCGCGTGTTGACGAATCGAGCTCTCGGTATGGCGTCGGTGGTATTTTGAATTTCTGATGTGTAGGCGTTGCAAGCAGCGCTGCGCAGGCACGCTCGAGGTGGGGCCACGGGGTGCCGCGAAAACACAGTGTGGCGGGGTTTGTCTATTGTTGTAACTGTGGCCTAGGTCACCTCCAGACAGAGGCGCGAAGATAACCGCGCTTCGCGCTTCGTCGTCTGGGCAAGAGCGGGATTCGTTTCCCATCAGGGCGGCGCGACGGCGCAAGGGCGCGGCGAGGAAAACCGCGCGTCGCGCATCGCGCACCGCGATGCGCGACGCCATGCGACCTGGGGTAGCTCTTCCCCTCCCCCATCCAGGCCCGCTCTTCACAGCCGCGGGACAACTGCAATAATAACGTGATCCTTACGGGAAATGGAGGAGGAGGAGGAGGAGAGGGCGAGGAGGGGGAGAAATGGGAACAACAATGATGACGAACAAAAAATGGGGGGAGATGCCGCTGGAGGACACAACTTCTTCTGGACTCTCTGGGGACTGCGGGTGCCTCTGAAGGGCCGCTTTGGGCCTCGGGAGCCCCGCGGATGGCTTCGGCGCGCAGGGGGCGCCCAGGATCTGGCGCGAGAGCTCCGGGGGGCGAAATCCAAGCCGATTGTGACCCAAAAACCAGCCCCGTCGAGCGTGTCCAGAAGTGTTGCGTTCAACCGTGGAGCGGGCAATCCTCCTCGACGCAGTAGCAGTGGCAGTCGTAGCTCATCCGCGGAAGATCGCGAGATCCTGGCGGTCGGCAGGGCACGGGGCGAAGGGGGGCCAGCGGTCTGAACGTCACATCCCTTCCGAACCCGCACCCTTCTCTCCCCGCCCCCCTGCCCCTCGTTCCTTGCACATCCCCCCCCCCTCTCCACCCCCTCCGCACTTTCTCGAGAACCGCCGCGCCCCTGAGCTCCCTGGTGGGCCGCTAGCTAGGTTGGTGGAGCCACCGAGCGCTGAGAGAGGGCCCAGAGAGGCTTCCATCCCCGAGCTCTCAACGCTCGGCGGCGTCGCCGACCGATGAGGGCTGCCGCCGCCGAGCGCTGAGGGGGGAGGCCCGGGGGGGGGAGGCGCCCACCCCCGAGCTCCCAACACTCGGCGGCGTCGCCGATCGTTGAGTGGGCTGGATCGGCGACGCCGCCGAGCTATGAGGGGGGTCCCCGATGCGTCCACCCCCGGGCTCTCAACATTGCTGGCGTCGCCGATCGTTGAGAAAGCCCAGTCGGTGACGCCACCCCCGAGCTCTCAACGCTCGGCGGCGTCGCCGATCGCTGAGGGCCCGATCGGTGACGCTCGCCGAGCTCTCAACACTCGGCGGCGTCGCCGATCGCTGAGGCGTCGCCGATCGTCGCTGATTGAGGAGAGGGCCGGATCGGTGGCCCCTCCGAACGTTGAGCTCCGGGGCTGCCACCCCCGAGCTCTCAACGCTCGGCGGCGCCGCCGAACGTTGAGAGCCCCGGGGTAAGGCGTCGTCCAGACGCCACCCCCGGGCTCTCAACACTCGACCCTCTCCCATGACCTCTCTACCCCGGGGCTCTCAACGTTCGGCGGCGCCGCCGAGCGTTGAGAGCTCGGGGGTGGCAGCCCCGGAGCTCTCAACGTTCGGAGGGGCCACCGATCCGGCCCTCGGCGACGCCGCCGAGTGTTGAGAGCTCGGGGGTGGAGTCGCAGATCGGGCTCTCTCAACGATCGGCGACGCCGGCGATGTTGAGAGCCCGGGGGTGGACGCATCGGGGATCCCCCTCAACGCTCGGCGGCGTCGCCGATCCAGCCCACTCAGCGATCGGCGACGCCGCCGAGTGTTGAGAGCTCCGGGGTGGGCTCCTCCGGGCTTTCTCTCTCTCTCTCTCTCTCTCTCTCTCTCTCTCTCTCTCTCTCTATCTCTCTCTCGCTCTCTCTCAAGCCACCCCCTTCGAGATCAGATATCCTCCAGAACGAAACATTCTCCTAGAGCACACTGGGGCGCCCCCGCCCCCGCCCCCGCCCCCCCCTTCCCCCGCCCTCGCCATTTTTCTGGCCCCGACGCAGCCAGTCAGCTGGTGCGTTACTGCGATGGTTGCACCCTCCGCGTCCACGCCTTGATGGTGAAGATTCGGTTAGGTGCAGACTTTACGGGTCTCAATGCACCACCCCTTGCGTTGTGGCAACTCGGCGCACCTGTTGATCACGTGTTTTCTTGCGACAAGGAACCGGCGGTCCAGCGCTTCAACGCCGCCGCGATGCCCGCCCAGCATCTATACGACGACATCGAGCAGAGAGACCACTCGCTTGTTCCAGAAGTAGACTACTACCATTTCTCCCCGCCGTGCCAGTCGTTCTCTGCCGAAGGAGTTGCGGGCCGACCTGTCGAAGGAGACGATGCACGCGACACGTTGTTTCGGCACAGCTTGGCATACATTGCGAATCGCACCCCGAAGCTTGTGACGTACGAGATGGTGCCAAACATCAAGATGAAGCAGCACAGGTGGGTGATGCGAGAGATCAAGGCCGAGTTGGAGGCGCTCCGCTATACCGTGCAAGTGAAGACGCTACACTGCGAAGATCATGGTGCCCCCCATCATCGACACAGGTTGTTCATGGTCGCGTGCCGCGACGGGTGGGCGAAGCCGTTCACGTGGCCGAAGCCTGTCGGCTTCAAGAGGACCTTGGCTGAGATCCTGGTGGCATCGCCGTCAGACGACCCGAAGGCACTCCCCCCGAAAGGAGCTACTAAAGGAGACAAACGGCGCAGGGCCCTTGTTAAGACTAAGTATAGAGCTCACCTGAAAGAGAAGATCAACCCGGCCAAGACGATCGTCATCACGGACATTGGATGCAGCCTCTCGCGCGGCAACTCGAGCACCAACTTGACCATTGAGGGCCTCTTCCCGTGCATCACGAATCGCCGAGCAAATGCATTGGACTATTGGATCTCGGTGCGCGGCCGACGCGTCGCGCTCCCAGAACTGTTTGAGCTCTCTGGCATCGACTGCGATTTGCAGGAGAAGCTGGCTGCGTGGTCGAGCTGCAAAACAAAAGTGTCAGCCGGGCAGATGGGGACGATGATCGGCAACACGATCCCAGTGAACATCATGGAACGGGTGCTTCAGAAGGCCTTGTGGGCGTCTGGATTGGCGACCCGCCGCTTGCCAGATAGGTGCAAACAGAAGAAGACGAAGGTAAAGCAGATCGGTTGCTAGCGGCGGGCGCCCGCCCGCAGGTCGGCAGGCCGCGCGGGCCGTCAACGACGACGGCGCTGCCATCGGGCCAGTTTTTTAGCGAAGATAACGAAGATAGCGGTGCTGCGTCACATCCACCTCCTCCGCCCCCCCCCCCCTCCCGCTCCGCCTCCCCCCCCCTCCGCCTCCCCCCCTCCCTCCGCCTCCCCCCCCTCCGCCTTCCTTGTCCCTGTCCTTCTCCGCTTCCCCCCCCCCTCCCACTCCCTCCCCAAAATCCCCTTTATCCCCCCTCCCTCGGCTTTCCCCGAAACTGCAGTGACCCAAACCTCGCGCGCATGCTTCATCGCCCTGCCCTGCCTCTTGCCCAGATCAACCCATAGCCCTGCCCTGCGATCCGAAGAGCCAGGCAAATGGCGGGCTTCGAACAGGGCCTCGCCGTCGAGGGGGCGACTACTTGACCTCTCATGTCCGGCGGGCGGCGGCGGAATGCCAGCGGAGGCTGGCGGAAGCAAAATATATCCCGCCCCTCCATCCCCCCCAGAGATGTCAACAACGTTTTTGGACCCGGGGTTTCCCGCGGTGCCCATGTCGACACTCCTCTCGATGTCGCGAGCGCTGGATTGCAGGGATGATGGGCGGCCCTTGGGACCTTAATTTTCGGGCAAACGTCATCAGGCTCCAAATCAATTTGGCGCGCGCTCAGGCATCGGGGAAATTTGGGCCGAGTGGCGCAACTACTACTACTACCACCGTTGCCGGGGGGCCAACTTCTGGACAACCTTCTCTTCTGGGGCATGTGGGCGCGTTGGCTGATTTGGACCTCGGGGGCCACGCGGATAGACCCCGGCACGCTGGGGCGCCCTGGGAGGCTGGAGGCGTTGCGGAGTGCGTTCCGGGAGAGAGTCTCCGGAACGCTTTGACAGAAAACCAACCGAAATCGAGCGTGTCCGGAAGTCGCGTCCGTTCACGCGGCCCGCCCTGCCGCCCGCATCCCTCATTCCTTCCGCGCCCTCATTGCCCTTTTTGTCTCCCCGGTCACAGACCGCCAACGTAACTATCATCGCAGCCAACCTAACTCAGCAGGGCGAGGCTGCCGGCGGGCGACCTTGCAGGCGGCCCCCCCCGACTGCGCGCCAGCCGCGCTGTCGATGAGCCCAAAGAAACGATCCGCCACCGATGCCGGCGCCTCCGCGGCGAAGAGGCCCAAGGCGAAGGCCACGTCGACGCCCCTCTCTGCTGACCCCGCCGAGTCGCCGCACGACGAGCAGACGACGGCGGTGCCCGAGCTGTCAGGCGTGAACGCAGATAACTTCTCTCACGTGCAGAAGTGGCTGGCCACCATCAAGCAGCACGTCGTGTTGCAGACGGCGTTCGCAGACAGCGTGGAGCCGGTCGCTGTTAGCGATGGCGCGGTGGTCCCCCCGATCGACATCGGCGTTGTCGCGAAGAAGCTCGAGTCGATGGGCGCCAACATCGAGGGGGCGACGGTCGTCGGCACTGGTTCCGTCCCTCTCGCATGGATCGACACGCTGATGAACCCCACGCCAGGTGTCCAGATCAACATGAGCGACGTGGACCTGTTCATCAAGCGCGACTTCAAGAAAACGTCGGCGCTGCCTTCTAAGCTGCGCACGATTGCCATTGCACTGACGGAACTCTCTACCGAGCCGTTCGTGGCAAAGAAGTTGCAGAGTTTGAGCGCTTTCGAGAAATTACACGCCCCCATCAAGGCCTGCGCCGATGAAGTGGACACTGGCACGATGACGGATGCCCGGGCCCGGGACTGGTTGAAGCTTTTCCGCCAGGTTTCGGGAGCGGAAAAGAGGGGGGTGATGACTAGGGGGGGGGGGATTTCATGGCGCGGGCCATGATTTTTCTTCAGATTTCATGGCGCCTCTTCTTATTTCATTACGCCCCAGGCCCCCCCGCTGGGCCGCGCACATGCCGCCCGTCATGATTTGCCCCCCCCCTCTTGGACACCCCCCTCTTGGCCGCCCCCGACAGGTTCCAACCGAGGTGTACCGCGTTAACCAAGCCGACATCGCCACCGCCGCGTTCACGCTCCGGGAGGACGCGAAGGATGAGGCGCACATCGTGTCGTGGACGACGCTGCAACGGATCCAAATTGTGATGCGAGAGAAGTACATGCTGAAACTAGCAACGGGTAAGGATCCCACAGAGAAGCAGTTGGAGACGCACTTCGAGAAGAAAGTTCACCTGGCTGCCAAGAGCCAGGAGCTGTCCTCTTCGCTTATCGACATTGCGAAAACTGTCCAAGAAAGAGCCCTTCGCCACAAGGGCATCGCGGAGACCATCAACACTCTGGACCGCCACTACAAGCACGCTGGACCGACATTTGGGATTGGGAAGTTCCAGATCGTGATCAACAGGTGCAAGACTGCCCTCAACATCGAGTGGTGCTACAACTACTTGTTGGACGCACTATCGATGGAGTTCATTGAGCTTTCCGATTGCAGCATCTCCAAAATCAACACGTGGATCTGCGACCTCGCCCTGATTAAGTTGAGCAGCAGGGATTACTTCCTCAATCAGTGGGCCCACAGCAACGCGTTCATGGCTGAAGAGATCGGTTGGTGCAGGAACGCGTTCGCCAGCCACGAGTCGGCGCGGGCGACCTTGACGAACTACCCAGGTGCATCGTCGGTCGACATTTCTAGCCTTTACGTGAGCGGCGCAGGCGCGAAGCGGCGCAATGCCTTTCGGTTGGCCGTCGCTTTCTGGGAGAAGATTGTGTTCGGGAACGACTTCGACACCGCCTTGAAAACGGCGGCGAAGAACGCCAAGGGGCCTGAGGAATATCTTGCTGAATGCACGGCGTTCGAGGGAGACCTGACGGAGCTAAAGGAGGAGTTGAAGAAGGAGCAGCAGCAGGCGATCGCCATGGACCCCGATGGAGCGGCAGCAACGCCGATGCATGGCGAGGCGGCCGCCAGCCGCACCGGCGACCACCAGGTGGAGGAGAGTGGCCCGACAACGCAGGTCTACGCCATCAACGAGTTCATCACCAAGAAGATCCCGACGGATGTCACCGACCCGAGGGCTGATGAATGCAAGAAGTACTTGGGCATGGCCGAGCGCATCGCGCGGTCGCTCACCAGGGTCGTCACCATACCGGCGAACGTGGCCACCATGATCGAGGATATCAAGTCAGCCGCGATGGCCATGGCTAAAGGAGATACGCTGGCCCTCCCGGGTGCTCCGCTACCCTCTCGCTGCTGCGGTGTTTGAGCCTGCGAGCTTGAACTGTCACACTGATCGTCCTCCCCATTTTTCTCCCCCTCCTCCTCCTCACCTCCTCCTCCTCCTCCTCCTCCTCCTCCTCCTTCTTATTGTCCTCCTTCAGATCCCCCCTCTCTCTCGCCCCATCTCGTCGTCTCGTCGTCGTCGCAGCGACGCCCTCCTCGCCGCTGCCCGGCCGCCGCGCGCTCCTCGTGGGCCACGGCGATCGGTCCTCCGGGCCGCGGGGGAAGGCCGTTCGAGCAGGGGGCGGGGAAAGGGGGGAAGGGGGGATGGGGGGACAGACGACGAATGAGGAGGGAAGACGAGGAAGAAGGACGGAGCGAGGAATGAGACGGACGGCAATTTGCATCTAAATTAAAAAGGTGGGTTGGATGATTGATTTCCGTCTATGGCTCTCCCGGGCCGCGGCCCCGTCTGGCAAGGGCGTAGGCAGTAAGGTTCCAAAGAACAATTCACCTCCGAAATGCAGAACGGGATCCCAAACCTCGAACGCGATGCAGAACTTTGCCCAAACCTACAGGAAAGTGCAGACGGCAGCCCAAGCCTGCAGGAATCAGCAAAACCGATCACAAGCTTCTAGGAAAAGTACACAGAGGCAGCACGGGCTTGCCTCGCGCGGCCAACGTGACGCAGCACATAGACGTTTCAATGCCAATTTGGCTGACCATGCGGCGCCGCCAGCTTCGCCCCACGACGCCAAACCATGCCGCACCAGCGCCAACGTGTCAGCACACGTCCACCTGCTGAACGCGAATCAAGCGCCTTGCCGCTTGTCTGAGTAGCAAGCGCGCGGCATTTATGCGCAGACGTTGTGGCGTGGGCATGGAGCGTTGCACGCGCGTTCGTGGTTTCCACAGTGCCGCGCATCAGCGTGTGATCGATGCTGCGGCCATGCGCGTTTGAGCTACAACGGCCAGGTGCTTACCTCGGCCGATGGGCAAAAGTGAGCAGCCTGGGCCATGCCCGACACGCAGCCGATGTAGTTGCAACATAGGTCAACCATGCGCCGCGGGAGCCATGCCGATCTCGGGGTAAAACCCCATTGGCGCATCACGCGTATGCACCGCGCGCGCACGCCCCAAGCATCGCACTATGAGCGCCGCCAGCGCGCACGGCATGCTGCGCGGAGGAGGTCCATTGAAAGGGGCAGCGCAACGGGGCGAGGGCAATGCCTCGCCCACATCCGTAGATATCCGAACGAGCGCGTGTACCCCAATTGCGCTCATCGTTCGGTCATCGTCGCTTGGGCCCAGTAGCGAATTCAAGACGCGCGCGGGCCCGAGATAGGCGGGCACCGCGCGCTCGGACGTTTGTCCTGATCGGCGCCATCGCACCATCACCGCGCCAAAATAAAGCCGCCGCCCCATCGACGCACCCCGCCGCCGCGCAGACGGGCGCGCGACTCGACGTCGCACCCCGTCTCATCACGTGACGCGCGTTCCTAATGAAGATGACCAGCGGCGCGTCTCACACAAAAGGGCGGCGGTTCACCCAACCTAGCGGCTGCGATCGGACTTGCCGAGATGACATCCCCAGCGCTTAAAAAACATACAACATGAGCTGCTCAGCTTCGTGGCCCCACGTTTCATGCCGCCAGCGCGCGGCGTGAACTCGCGCATGCGTTGTTTCAAGCGCAATGGAGGGGGGCAAGGGCGCCCCCCTCGCTACTCGGCGCGCCGCTCTCACGGCCACCCGTCGTGTTGATGGGTGCATGTTAAGGGGGCACGTGCTATTAAGCATTGACCCGCACGCCCGCGCTACCGTTGAGAAACGGCGAGCGCGTTGGCAGCCGTTTTGGCGAGCCGTTGGGCTTTGCATGCATCGCCGCGTAGTGCGCTCAGCGATGTTGTCGTTGAGTGGGCGCTGGCGCCGCCTCCCAGCAGGGCAACTGCACGATGCGCCGTCGGCCGCGCGGATGCCGAAGGACAAGTGGCCGCCGCCATCCTCATGGCGCGCCCGACGCGCCCACGGCCATGACCGTGTACCAGCGTTTTAGCCTTTTGCCTTTTTGGCACGGCGGCGCAACAACAAACTAAGCAGGAGCGGCGGAGGGGGAGACCAAGGAGGAAGGAGCGAGGGCATGCGCGGAGCCGCGTGCGCAGCAGGAGGGCACAGGAGGGGCAATCTCAGAAATGACACGAGCGAGGGGAGGCAGCCCAGACGATGACGAGGCCGCAGGGGATGCAGACGTACAGTACACTGGGGCTGGCGATACTCAGAAATATTACGAATGACGAATGGCGGGAGAACGGAGTTGGTCGAGTGAGGGGGGGGACGTTGGAACATTGCAAGCAAGACCTGCACCAAACTACACAGACGAGCCTAAACGATCCGTCCTTATGATGACAGCGGGGCCTATTCGATTGCACTGCTGGTGAGAGTGACGATCGTGATGATGATGATGAGGATGATGACTGGCATGATGGATGGTTGCTCGTGCTGGGCACACGGCCACGGACTCTGGCCGAGGAGCCGCTAGCCCGTCCCTCGGAAGAGCGCGGTGAACCAGCTCCCCCTCTTCTTGCACTGCGGGTCGGGCTGCTTTGAGTTGAAGTGGTCCGCGTTGACCTTCAGGATGGCCGCCTTCGTCTGGTCGTTGAGGTCGGCGAGCCCGTCCTTGGTGATCAGTGGAACCACCGGAGCGTAGGCAACTTCGTTACTCACGGTGGCCTTCGCAGGCCTCTTCCTTACTGCTTTCTTTCCTGAGGATGGCTGATCCTCCTTCTCGGTGGTCTGCGGGCGATGCACTCCAAATGTCAGGAAACCGTTCGGGATGTAGAACACTTCACCGCTGGACAACTTGCAAGTGATCACCTTCTCTGCCAAGTGGGCTGCCCCCTCGGGGGTCTCAAGGAACTTGCCGTACTCCATTGCCGAGAAGCCCTTTTCCAAGATCTGTTCCATCGGCGTCAGCTGTAGGTAGAGCGTCTTCTCGAGCATGATCACCAGACAGGCGCTCCCAAAGAGGGGGAACGCCTTGGGCCCGAACCTGCAGCAATGCCCCCTTGCTGCTATCATCCACGGGCCGCCGCCGTCTCCAAGCTCGACGTTGGCGCAGAGCCGCTTCATGGCCTCGTCGATCTCTAGCCCGTCCACGGCGGAAGCTGCTCCGCTCCACGAAGGGTTGCGACTCATGTGGCCCCGCATGTTCTCAAGCTTGTCTTGGGCGCACTGCTGCTTCACGGAGTCCCGAATGTACTGGACGTGATCGCCCTCAGCGGGCCACGACGCCATCACGGCTAAGTTGGGCGCGTCTGGGTTGCGCTGGACCTGCATCCACGCAGGGTTCTCCTCATCGTCCTCTGGGTTCTGCACCATCTCGTCCGCCGTGTCGAAACAGTACAACACCTCGGTCAAGTGCTTAGCGTGCTGCTTGCCAAACTTTCCGCCCAACAAGGCGTTCTCGATCGAGACCTGCCCCCAGTAGATCTTCTGTCTGCTCGAACGCTCGCTGAGGCGGGCACCCTGCAGCATGTGGGTGGTTGAGGCGTGGAGGTCGTCTACTTTGGCCTTGATCGAAAGGATCTTAGCCTTGATATCGTCA